AATATGAACTTTCGACTTTTGCTTCGAGGTGTAGATTCTCAGGGCTAGAGGAGTATAAACTTGTGTGCCCAGAAAAGTTCGTCACACTACACAGCGTGCTGTGCTGCTTTTTTTTTTTTGTTTGTAACATGCCAGCCATGTTGTACTTACCTTGTTTTTTCTTTTTTTAAAAAAAAAGGTCTCCACAGCTTTTAGCCGGCTTTGTTTCTGTTCAACTGTTTTTTTTTGTTTTTTCCGCAGAGCTGCGAGCGTGGATATATGTATGCACACACACACGTGTACATTTTGACTCGTTCCGCACCAAATTGTATCTTCACAAGGCCATTCAGGATAACGTGAACTATTTTGCATTCCTTGGCCGTTTCGAGCGATTTTTTTGTTAGTGTAATTGGCGCAGGGAGCTACTCCTTCGCAGGGCTTCTTGCATTTGTCTGAGTATTCACTTGGCGCTATTCCGCTTCGTGCTGCCTTTCCCTTTCCACCTAAAACCTCTCCCGCGAAAAGCACCACTTAACGATAGACTCGGCGACCAAAAAATGGACGGGACGTATGGAATGAGAACTGTGTTGAATTCTTCCCGTCTTGAGGAGGAGCCAAAATACTCCCTGAACCCAGCGGATCTCTCGCACAACAGCATGAACACAAACTACATGATGAATGGAGCAGTGTTGACAAATGGCTACAACACCAGCGATTATGTCATTAACAGAGAAGGCTACCCATCTGACATGATGCCACAATTTAAAATAGATCAGGGGGGTAATGCATATAACAACACAATGCCAATGAACAGTATCATACATACAGATCCAAATGACTCCCTTAGCATGCAAGGAATGAAGGCATGTCTGGAATCGACAAACGGATTTGACAGCTACAGAAACTTAATGAATTATAACAACACCCAAAACACAATTCAAGCTAGCCAAGTTCCATTCAATTTGGACGAATATAATTCTGGGGCAGATATCATGTACATGAATCATCCAAGCACAGGTGATAATTTCTCCCCTGATTACCTCAACAACGTGAGAACAACGGAAACGGATCCTATGAGTTACGCGAACAATTTTAACATCTCCAATGGAAATTTCAACACCATGATGAGTGAAAATAATAATTATAATAGTTTGCCTTACTCTATGCCCATCTTTGAAAATATGAATAACCCTCAGATGTTCATGCAGCAGATGAATCCCAAACAGACTCTCACTGGACCCACGCCTAAAATGGACCATACCTGCAGTATTAGGAAAATGCCTGCCGTTAGCAAGAGGAAAATTAAGCCTAAGAAATTTTTCCCATGTTGTTAGGTCTTCTTCCCCTTTTTTTTTTTTTTTTCGTGTGCACAGGGGACAGTTTGGATTGATGAAGTGTCTGTTCCGTTTCCCTTCTCACGTAACACTTTCCACTGGCTTGAATTTCTTCCATTTTGGTTTTCCTCCGTCTTTACTCCAATCCAAATTAGCATTTCATTTTTTTCTTTTTTTTTTTTTGTACGAAAATGGGAAATTATGATGATAACGTGGTGTGTACATTACGCGGGTGTACTCTTCACCAGGCGTATGAATGACCCAATTTGTGAATCCCTTTTCTTTTTTTTGTTTAATTGTCCGACCCCACCTTGCACACCCTTGGGAAACAGGAAAGCAAGGTGGCACCAACGGTACTACACAAATATGTCTCTAATAAGCTATTTACAAGCCCATTTTTACACACTTGCAGGTATGCATCTGTTATGTGCTTGCCCACCCCGTGTTCACCCTACTAGTTATATGAAAATAACTACACGATTTGTGATAATTATTTGGCTTTTTTTTTTTTTTTTTTTTGTATGGTAGCACTGTGAAGATGCAAATGGTTCGGTAGTTCACTCTACATTTTGTCATTCGTCGTGTTGTTTTTTCGACTTTTTAATTTTTTTTTTTTTTTTGTCGCCTTTTTTATTCCACTCCGTGGTCGCTTCGTTCCAACTTGTCCGATTTGCCGTTTGTAAAAGTGGGGAGTTAAGCTTTCGCATCTGAAGATGGTTTTGTAAAGGGGGTGTGCGATCCACAGAGTGGGGAGCCAAGCAACGTGCGAGTGGCATTGTTGCTTGGTCAAGCAGCGAGGTGGCGAATGCACGTCTCCTCACCACATGTCTAAGCACAATTGCCTCTTCATCAAAACGGCCCCCAAATGGGGAAGAACGGGGGGGCCATTTCCTCAAAAGAGGAATTCCCCTAGTGCGCAATAAACTCTTCAGTGGTGGCACAAAACGGGACCCTTTTTAAAAGCCCGTTGTTGTGGCTACCCGTATAGAACTTTGTTCTTCTCAAAAAAAAAAAAAAAAAAAAAAAAAGCTACATCCCTTTGTTTTAGGTTTTGCCCTATCCCCTGTTTACTTAAAAAAGGGTCATTAATGGTAGCGAACAGGACGAAACGGGGATGTTACCATTTTGTTTTTGTTCATTTGAGATTCTGCTCAAATGTGCAGTTCTGCTTCCCCACATTTTGTATCTCCATTATGCTGCATAAGTGTACGAGTGAATATTTTTTCCACGTTGTAGATCCTCTGCAGTAGTGTGTGTGTGCGGGGGCGTTAGGACCCCAATGAATGTATTTGCTCCTGCTTGTTATGCAGGCATATTCTCGTCCCCAGCTTTTCCTAGTGGAGCAAAACGGGGCACCGCATCAGTGCATTTGCGTTGTACCTACGTAGGTATAGATGCGGTTGTGATGGAGGCCAGCCGCTACGCAGTCGGCAGCAGCGCCTCATTTTGCGAACCCACATTTTTGCAAAAAGGTCAGAGGGAATAACACAACACTTGTGATACGTTGTATGTATTGCTACGCGGGGGGATTGGCAAACCATGAAACATTTAGCGACGACGCATTTACACGTTGCGAACAGGTGGGGCGCGAGGAGGATGCTCGCCAAACGGGCAGAGGTGAAGAAGCAGACTCTCTTCGTGGCCATTTCGACCCACTACTGTAGCAGCATCTTCGATTTAATAGCCAAGAAAAAGAAAGAGTCGGAGAACAGGTGTAAAAATGGAATTTCTGTCCAAGAGGGGACAAATATTAGGGATCATGAACTTCCCCCTCCCCAGCGGGATGGCAGTAAACGGAGGACACACACCGACGATGTGAATTCACTCTTCAGTGGAGCAGCAAAAGGGGAGGAAAAACTTGTACAGGAAAGAGAAGCGGTGATAGGAGAAGCATCGTCCATTTTGGATAATGAATTGAAGTGGGAAAACAGAACGTTGAACCAGATACACAAATCGGAGCAGAACGACCGCGCGGCAGAAGAAGAAATGTACCACAACAAGGTGTACCTGTTGAGGTACATAAAGCAATTGCAGCCAAATGACGACATCGCCAAGTATCGCCTTGCAACAAAGTATGTGATAAAAAATGTGAGCAAATTTTACGAAAATGAATTATTATTTATATTAAAAACATTTGCCAAGAGAAGGTACAAAAACTTACCCCTCCTGCAGTGTACCAGTGAATACCTCTATTGGCAGTGTAAAATGAATAAGGGGTCACAAAAAATAATATCACATTACTTACATTTGTGTAACTTACTCAATTATGTGCCAACGAAAAAATATATAGAAGCATATCTAAGCGTCTTTAACTATTGTAAGGAAGAAGTTCGAGAGGACAATTTCCTTTTTTTCAACCTGATCGAAGAGGAGATAAATGAAAAACACAAAGACTTGAAGCATATCATTTTGGTACTACACTTTTTACACAAAGGAAAAATAAAAAATGAATTATACGACACCTTACTTCACATGTGTTGTTATTACGCTTGTCAGTTATCCTTGAGGAATACTTTTCTTCTGTTAAGAATTGTTCTAAATGAAGAAAGTGGGAAACACAATTGGCATTACATAAAAGGGCTACACCGAAATATGGAGAGACATCTCGACTCGATGACACAGGGAGATTTCGCCACTTATGTCAACACCCTCCTACACAACCACGTCACTTTAGAAGAGAATTTTTTTTTATTCATTAGAAGGTTTGTTGAAAAACATGGGGTGGAGTTGTCCCCAAGTGCTGTGCTATCTACTTTGAAACTCCTAAAAAGGGAAAAATGTAAAGATACACTTATTTTAAAAAAAGTGTTAAATGTGATTAGTAAAAACTTCTACCATTACACTTATGCAGATGTGGTGTATGTCGTTAAGATACTGACCTTTTTAAACCATTTCGATGAGAATTTTTTTTTTTTCCTTTTTGAAAAATTTTTGCCCCCTATGGGTACCCTACCCACTGGCAAGTTATTATCAACGTGGGGGGACAACACAGTGGAGTCAGGATCCCTCCCTTATAAAGCGCTACATACATATAACGAGGAGCGACTTTCCCCAGTGCAGGTTAACTGGACTCAAGTAAGAAAGACACAGGTCGGGAGGGTAGATAAAGAGGAGGACGTCTGTGTGGGCCCTGGCAATTCTTTTATTCCAGTAGCACCACAGAAGAAGGGACCCATCAACGAACTATCCCACTTACCTTTACATTTGTACGAAGAGAGGTTCAAAATGAAGGTAGAAGTTTGTAACATAATTGAAGAGAAAGAACAGCTAGGAAGAGATACACATGTGAGCCAAATATCCTTCTGTTTCAAGTACGTAGACATGTACGTCAGTTTTTTTGTCTACCTGGGGACGTGCGGGTATAGGGCCTCCGACTTGCTGCTCCGTTTATCGCAAATGATTCGCCTGTGTTTGCTCGCAGGGGGGGGTTCGCTCCGCGATGAGGGTAGCACCTATATTGCCGCTGCCAGCCCTACCACGAGTAGTGACCACGTTACGGACGAGACTGGCCGATTGCGTAGCAACATGAGTAAGCGAGGCGAACCCCAATTCGTGTTCCTCCACGACGCCATTAAGAAACATAAAAAGCAAACCAACTTTGCATTGGACGGAAGTAGCGTCGCCAAACTGAGTGGGCGGGAAAACTACTTGCCCCCACAGGACAGGTGCCACAAAAAGAGCAGTCCTAATGTGCGCCGTGCAGGTGAAGGGACGTCAAGTGGGTGCCAAGACAGTTCCTCTCTCAACGCGGTAGCTGCGTCCAACCCCGTTGCTACTCCCATTGGGGGGACGAAATCTTGTCTCAGATTCCTCTACAAGAAGAGTGAAAAGATAAATCTTGAATGTTTAAAAAAAAAAAAAAAAAAAATACAGCCAACTTCACACGGCGAAGAGACAAACAAGGACAAAATGGACATATCACATTTGAAGTACCTCAATGTAGAAATGTTCCGGAGGGCCAAAATGGTGTCCCCTTCTGAGGATCCAGTGTGCGGTGCTGAGGTGGAGGAAGAAAGAGGCTGCTACGAATTGACAAGACGAATGAAAAGGAACTCCGTTTTGTCGACGCACTTCGGTGACGTTCACCCAGCTGCTATTCGCCTGCACAACCGCAGGCTTTTCCAAAGGCACTTTGACGGTAGGTTGTGGGGGTAATGCGACAGTCTCATATGTTTACCCCCGAGCACATTACGTCATGTCGCGTTGTTCATGTATATACCGAGCATGATTCGCTGGCCCATTACGTCGCCCCATCGTTCGCCTCTTTTCCCCCCCGCTCACTTTGCAGAGCTCCACCCAAGCGAGCGATACACCGAGAAGGTCCCCACCAAGCCACGCGTTGAACGCAGCCAGAAGAATGGCAAAGATATACACCTGAAAAGATACAAAGAAATAAGAAACTTACGCAACGTGTGTTTGCGGAGGTACGCCCAAATATTCAAACAAGAGTTAGAAGAAGCATTCGAGGAGGTAGTAGTAAAAAGGGTGCACAAGGTGGGAGAAGGCTCACATGCAGATAAAACGTGTTCATACAAATACCCATTCGATATGGTTTGTGATAAGAACCTAATTCATGTAGACGACGCCCTCTTTGTCGATTACACTCTCTGTGACAATAACAGGAAGGTAGCTCTACGCAAGCACAGCCACTTGGTACGGAAGAGCAACCACATGACCCGCAAGGAATACTCCAGGGGAGGGGAAAAAAAAAGAAACCAGGAGGAAACAGGGAGAGAAAAGAGTCCCAGTGAAAATTTACTCAAATGGTTGTATAGGTATAAAAACTGTTTGAACCTCTTCACAAATGAGAAGAAGACTTATATTCACCTAATCGATAGCGACATAAAGCATTTAGGCGAGTGTGTACATAAGTGGTATCAACTGTGTGGAGCCAAAACGACAAGCAGTGTAGAGAAGCAGAAGGGAGAAGCAAAAGCCAAAATGAGTCTTAAAAACATTGCACACATTACCAACGCGTGCACTAATTTGTACCACTTCGATAAAGCCCTCATTGATGTACTCCTCATCCACGTGTCGACATTACTTCATTCCTTTTACTCAGTGCAAAAATCGCATGAACAAAAAAGAGTAGACTCACACGGATTATACACATGTGCCACCGCCAGAGAGACCACCTACGAATGTATGTACCGCTTCACCAATATGTGGAGCTTTCTAACAGTGTGTTTACAAATGAATTGTTTCATGAAGAATGTCTTGTCGTTGGACCATCGACACGAAACAGTAACCAAGTTATTGCACCTACACACCAGTCCTTATTTCATACTTAACATGAAACACCTCACGTGTGTATTAAACCAGGCAGATGCGTTGTCAACACAAATGGAGAGACCCTACTTAATAAAAAAATTCCTCTTACACTACCTAGACATTTCAATATTTACTAGCCTTTTCTTTTCCTTCTGTAAAAATCTGTTCATCATGGTGACTTCCAATTGTGTTGATGTGCTGATGAAGGACTTGCAACTTTTTCACACCTTTACCTACTCGATGCTAGCCCTCCAGAGGGACTACCTGCGTCAGTGGATTAGCCATTCGCATGGTTCATATTCAACACCGATCGATGGGGTTCCCCTTGGAAGAAACAACGAAGATACGACATTCCTGCAGTGCCTCAATTTTTACGTTATGTTCGTTTGTGCTGCTTCTTATCGCGGGCTGGGCAGAGAGCATCGCGCTCATGTGGGAACAGCCGGCGGGGTTACACGTGGGCGAAGCGGGGGAAGCGCTGACACGTGTGACATTCTGGCCCTAGCGCTGAGGTATATAAAATTGTGGAGCTGCGCGAGGGATTTTTTCCCCGCCCAAAATGAGAAGAGTAAGGAGCTCGCGCGAATGCACACGGGCACGCAAACATGCATAAGCGCACACACGGGGGTATGTACGGAGGTACGTACGATTGCGCAGAGGCAACTGCTGCCCGCTCTGCAGTTTTACTACCTCCTGAGAAGAAGCGTTCGGAAGCAAAATGCGACGAAGATAAATGAGCAAACGTTCCCCTACGTTTTTCCCCCCTTTATCATTAAATGGTTGAACCAAGAGGGAGTGAAACAAATGTCCATGTGCGAGCTGTTCCCCGTCGATCACCTGCATCATCGCCGACAGGAACGCGCCCTGCTCGCGGACACCTCCACGCCTAGCTCTTACGTTGATACAACACTGTACTATCATTTCTTCAATTTTTTTTTTTTTTAAAAAAAGCGTGTTTAAGAGGAGAGGCATATATGTCCTTTTTTTTTTTTTTTTTTTTTTTTTTCGAGTCCTCTTAATCTGTTCGATATACGACTTCACGTTCCATTCAACTGCGGCTATTCGTGGTACACTTTGCACAAGCAAACCCTGCTCAAACAAACAGAGTGATACCCTCCTCCTACCTCATTTGCCTCCCCTCATGAAATGCTTCCTGTGCCACAGCGAGGTCCTACCCACGCTGAACACTTTCATCATGTTAGACATAATAATACAAATGTTAAAAGGAAGTAACTTTCAGGGGAGGAGCAAAGGGAAACGAGAAAAGAAGAAAAAGAAAAAAAAAAAAACAAAAAAAAAAGCGCTCTACTTGACAAACAGAATTATGATGGAAGCCTTCCCCCCAAATTTTAAATTCATCTTAGCGTTCCTGAATGGACAGGTGGATCACCACGCGGGGGGGACGCTGCCAGAGGAGAGGGCGGGCAACGGGGAACTACACCAACTGAATGAAGACAAGCACGACGACGAACTGCAAGCAGAGAGAAACTCCTTCCTCCGGAACACCGCACAGTGGAACGTACACAAAGTTAAAGACATTAAAAAGGGCACACTCGAGAGAGTAAATCATTTCGAACCCCCCATGAAGGAACATCTGAGCATGGACAAATTCAAACAGATCCTAGAACACATACACATAAAGTACATCGAACGGGGGAACAAGCAACAGGAGGAGGACGACGATGCGAATGATAAGGAGAGAACCTTAACAGAAGCATTATACAATTTAAATGAGCAAAAGGAATACAACTGGGTTATTGTGAATTTAGCGTTCCTTTTTTTAGAGGATAAAAAAAAAATAAATATGTACGCTGAAAATCTTTGTCTACACTATTGTCATGAGCAGACAAAGGATACCTGCACAGATAGCCTGAACAACACAAAGGAGATTCACTTCTCCCCCCGGAATAAAAATAATTTTGCAAATATGCTCATGGAGAGGGAGATATATGATGTGACCTTCTTTAAGAACATCCTGAGTTTTCACTTCTGCTACTCCTTTCTAGTAAATTTTGACGAACACCTAAACCACAATCGTGTGGCAGTCACCATTAGCCATGCGATCCATTCGCAGGTGGGAGGACTATACAAAGATGCACAGCGTGGGGGGGACTGCTTTGGTGATGGAGGTAGGGGCGAACGTGCCAGGGGGAGAAGGACTACTCACCGTACGCGTGGAAGGGACAACAATCACGACCCTGAACCAACCGACAGATGGCCCAACAATGAGCAGCACACTGTTGCAACGAGATTGGATCAGAACAATGCGGAAAAAAATTCCTCAAGTAGGAAGCGCAAATTGGGGGAGATTGAAGGGGCTGAGGTGCACAGTGGGGGATACTCCGGTGCATCTGCTGCAGAGAGGGAGAGAAGTGCCCCTGAGGAGGGAAGCACAACTGATACCGCTCCTAGTGGAGGATCAGACGAGGCACGACACACCCACGTGGAACATCCAAATCTGAACGACCTGCCTAATTTGTGCAACGACGACCCCCGGCGCGAACATGTGACGAAAAATGGCAACACGCATGCAAAGGATTTCCTCACTCACCCGAAGAGAAAGAAAAAAAAAGGAAAAAGAAAACATTTGTATACCTTTGACGTTGTCCCCAAATGTGATGTGTATAAAAAAAATTACCTTAACATGTTATCCTTGTATTGCGATTGTGTCTTTTTAATCTCCTGAAATTTTTGTTCAGGTGTGGGTTTCAAATTTGCTGGTGTTGGGCTTGTCCCTCTCTCCCCGGTGTTACACATACATGAAGACATAACATATTTGTTTTATAAATGTGTATCCCGCAGAGGGGGAAAAGTCCTTTTGCACTTGTTCCCTTTTTTCGCAGTCACTTTGGAGAACACCGAGACGAACTGCGAAGAGAGGGCGGACAGGTGAACCAATCCAGCTGCTTCCAAACAGGTGAGGACAAAGGTGATTTTATTTTTTTTTCTTCTTTGCTGCGTTTTTTTTTAATTTTCTGCGTCTCTTCTCTTCGTAGTCCTTTATTTTACTTCGAGCTATGTCCTGCAAAAATAGGACGTACTCGCTGTGCTTCTTCAAGTGCTCACGTTCGTCAATCTCGCTGCGCATTTTTTCCTTTTCTTCTTCCTCCCGTTGTTTGTTCACTTGAGCATACTTTGCCTGAACGGGTCAGGGAAGAAAAAGGGGGGAATAAATTTTTTTTTTTTTTTTTTTTTTTTAAGGGGGCATAGCAAATCCCCCTTGGACCACACCCGTCTGCACATGTGTGCTTATATATGTGGGTAGGTTTTTTCTGCACGGAGTTATAATGACTGTGGTGGATTGTGATCAGCCATCTGTTGTGATGCCGGGGACGTACAATTTGTTCTCTCTTCAACTGAATTGCCCTAAGGGAGTCTTTAAATTCATATTTTATTTGCTCCAGCCTCTGCATCCTTTTGTATTTCTCCTTTTTGTAATATTCGACGAGCTCGTCGTGCACGTTTTGCAGCTTCGAGTGGGGGGGAAGTGGGACGGGCAGGACTGGGGTGACCATCTCTGCCTCGGTGGCACTACAACAGCTTCGCTGCAGTTAGCTTCTCCGCAGTGAGCTTCGTGAAGTGGCCTTGGTGGAGGTTGCCCCCTGACCGGACACGCACTTACGTTGTCGTTCCTCTTATTCAAGAAGCCTTTTATATAATCGTTAATATTGGCATAACATTTCAGATCCCGCTCCATCATGTCCTTTGTCTCCTTGGTCGAGTGGTGTTTGAAATTCATCTTCATTTCATAACTCGAGGCAGTCGCCTGCACATACTCCTTCTTGTACATGTAGTACAGCATGGACTTTACGAAAAATATTTTTTTCCTTTTTTCTGTCTCTTGTATTTTTTCCTGCATGACTTTTTTTTTCTTGTTCGTCGTTTCAATTTGTTCTTTTATTTGATCCTTCAGGATGTTCACGATTTGCTTCTTGTGATACACACTTTGCCTCAGCTATAATGGGGATGTCGCAACGAAAAATGTTAGTTTTGGTAAGGCAGGAAGCGGTGAGGCGGCACACGTGCTCGGGGTGGGCATCAACCCTGCCGCTCCACTTCATCCCTTCTTACGTTCAGTAGTAGATTCTGCTCTTCCTTGAAGGCGTCCAGCTCTTTCACAACGGAGGTAAAGTTCAACCTCTTTATATTCACAAATATGTTGAGAAGCAGCGAGCCATCTTCGATTATTTTGTTTCGGTTGTCCTGTTGGGTTGGGGGAACCAGTCGGGGCAGTTTTCAAAGTGAGGGGAATCACTCACCGGCCCGTTGGTGTCCCACTGTGTCGCACTTCTTTTGTTATATTATTTCATTATGTCTGGGGCAGCCCGTCCCCCCTCACCTTTAAGTTTCTGTCCGTGGGGGAGTTTTGGCACAAAATTTCATTCGTCTCACTGAGGGCGTCAATGTACTCCTCGATTTTTTTCTTTACGACATTGTAGTCGTTTTCATTTTCGCACAACTCGATTCCTTCCTGTAGGGTGTTGAAGCTGCGCGGTGTTTAGGCGGGGAAAGCGGTTTCCTGGGTTAGAAGCGGTTGCCTAGGTTAGAAGCGGTTTCATGGCTGAGCCCTTTCCTGCACCCTGAAGGACGCCTCCCCCCACCGCTCACATCTGCTTCCGGCTGTTCTCCGTGGACAGGTGGTCAATGTCATTGGTGATGTACACATGCAAAATGTTTTTTTTTTTCTGCAACAGCTCCCTGAGCACATGTAGAATGAATTTTATTTTCCTTAATGCTTCCGCGCACAGTATATTCAAAATAATCCTGTTAATGTTATTGACTTCGATTTGGGCGTTTTTCTTCAGTTCCTGTTTGCCGCTCGCGGCGAGTTCCATGGTGGACTGCGCTTTCAGGAGTTATATGACTCAATGCAGGGTTAGACTGTACAGTCTCTGCTCGCCACAGAGGAGACGCGGGTGTATGAACAAAACACGTGCCGGAGCATGCGTTGCCCCCTGCCAAGAACGAGCAGTGTGCTAGCCTTGCGCATGCACAAAACCCCGTGTGCACAACATGTTTCTGCATACATGAGAAAATTTACAACTGCAGTGGCGTTTTTTTTTTTTTTTTTTTTTTGTTTATTATTATTTTATTATTATTTTTTTATTATTATTTTTTCGCGTCTCTGAAAAATAACCTAAAATAGGAAGCGCAAGCTGCAATGAACAAATCACGAATTTTAGTGACCCCCTAATATGAGCAACTTAGCATGCGCATATAAAATATACACGCGATAGGTGGGATAGCGAAGCGACGCTGCGGAATGAAAAAAAAAAAAAAAACAGAGCAACGTATTGCTACTAACCGTTTACAAACATTCACAATTTGGGCCTTTTTTTTTAAGTCAAGTAAAACCTTTTCTTTTTTTTTTTTTTTTTTTTTTTCCCCGCAATGGAAAATTTGAGAACTTAAGAGTGACACAGAAAAAAAAAAAAAAAATATATATTGCTTCATCCGGACGAGGGAAACAAGCGGTAACTCTCTCGCAAAGTGTCTTCAACCGAATTAAAAAATAATAAAAAAAAGAAGAAAAAAAAAAAGAAGCAATCAAAAAGAGAAGAAACGAACGAAGAAGGACATACGCGAAAACACAAAAATATAAACGTAAAAATGGGAGAGTGTACACGGAGAGAGCACATGAATTTCCCCGCGCGTGCGTAGCTTGCATACGCGAGTAGCCATCATCACGTGTACGCGTCTACACACGCGCCATTTTTAACGAGGCCCAGGTGGGGGTGTAAGTCTCTCCTCCCCCCGTGGACAGCTCGAATCCGGAGTCGCTCCCGCTCCCCCACCAGCGTGAGTTACTACTGCGGAGCGCCAGCGGAAGGGCAGCGCAGGACGCTTTGCTTCACCAGTTATTTACAAGAAGGCGCTCTTTAGAAGCCATTCGTGAGGAGCTGTCTCGTATATACGTCTGGGGGAAAAAGTTCATCCACATGCCTTCATCATCGCCCGAAGCCAGTGTGCCCACCACCACCTCTCCAAACGAAAACAACTCGAAAGGATGCATTTGAAAAATGATAAAATTTGCAGTAGGAATTATATGCTACTACATTGTGTACTGCTCATATCATGTGTATAAAAATGTGAGGACCCCCGTGTATGAACATTCAAGGGGTCGGGACAAAAATGGAAAGGAGCAAGCAGGACTAGACATAAGTGAGAAATATATTCATAGAGCATTCTCAAATTTTTTCAAACACAAAGACAAAGTGGATTATCACCTGTACATGTCATGTGAAGAATATATTGACTTGAACAGATACGTACGTGAGAAAGAAACATTTTTGGAAGACAATGAAAATTTTATTAACGTTCATAATTTTAACAACGTTTCTTATGACTGGACTTATAATAATTCTCGAGAGGGAGAAACCAAGTGGTGGAATCCCCTGGCCTTGAAAAAATATCCTTCCGCAAAGCTAACCATCCCAAGCAATCTCATAAAAAAGAATAAAGAAATTTACCTGCACATACTTACCTACGTGAATGGAGAATTGTACAGACATGGGTATGTCACGAGACTACTCACGAGGGAGAAACGCGAGGGGAAGAAGTGGACCTCCAAGGAGAAGTACCTCTGGGAGCGCTTCCTAGAAGAGCAGGACGACAATGACCAAGTCGAGGAGGAGCAAGAAGAGGAAGAGGAGGAAGAAGAATACGCAGATGACCAGGTGGAGGAGCCGAACAACGACAACTACAACGATCAGTACAACGAGGAGAATGTCAAGGAGCACGCGGAAGACGCAGAAGAAAATGAGGACCAGACACAAACAGATGACGCGGCAGACGATAGGAAAAAGAAGAGCCCAAGCAGAGAGACCCCGCAAGGCGTAAAAAAAAAAAAAATAGCAACAAGGTAAAAATATAGGAGGCGGGAAAATTCCTGCAGAACTGACAGGAGAGTTGTTATGATAATTTGGTGGGCCCACTTGCCGCTTCCACACTTGCCACTTCCACACTTGCCTCTACCTGACTTACCGCTTCAACCACGTCACCGCTACACCACTTCACAGAGGACAGACGAAATGACTGATAACTGCCTGCACGTGTTCAACTTAACAAAGAACGTAAGCGAAGATCACCTGAAGGAAATTTTTATGAACTTTGGTAACTTAAAAGATATTCACATTTCGCTCGATGAGGAAAATGTAAGTAGGACCAACGGAGGGGGGAATTTCATAAGCGCCACAATAAAATTTGAAAATGAAATGGATGCGAGAGTTGCAAAGGAATATATGAATGGTGGACAGATCGATGGCAAAACGGTTTCCATAAAATATGTGCATGAGGGAAAGAGCAAGGGGAAGCATAAACATACAAGTAGGGAGCACAGTATTAAGAGGGAGCATAAGGACAGGACTGGCGGTGACAAAAAGAAACGCCTCAAAGATGGCCGCAGGTCCAGCTCATCCCCTTCGGGCGTATCGGAGTATTCCAGCAGGAGGTCCTCCAGTACAGAGGAGCGCCGGAAGACCAAGAGTACCCGGAGAAGGTGAACAGATTTGGTACGCAGGGGGCGTGGCGCGTGGATATTAGCGAACGGGCGTGACGCACGGGCATGTGATTGTACGCATGGTTATACAAAGCCATGTTTGAAACATTTCCCGTGGAGCAATTCCCACTTTGTTGAAGCGTCTCACGCGGTATGTCACCGAGCTGTTTACCAAAATAATGAAAAGAAGACGTCACTTATAAACCACACCCAATTTGTGTTACGTGGAGACAATGTCTGGGGGTATCCACCAAACGTAGAAGGGGCGTATCAGCAAATTATTCAAGGCAGGGCGAAAACCCCAGGACAGCAATTTTATTCCCACATGCGTACACTTCTTGGAAATAAAAAAAAAGTTTAACCTTGGACAGCGGTTATTCGAGTAAACTCGTTAAGCGCAATTATTTTTTTTTTTTTGAAAATGGAAGGTTTTCCTCCCGTAGTGGGTAATCCATGGCGCAGTCAGCCAAAAGTAACAAACACACAAAAAAAAATATATGAACTGTTCATAAAAAAAAAAAAATACTCGCCGCGACGCAGTGTAGAGTGGCATCGCGCAGCGAAAGAGATATGTTAAAAGCGCGTCTTCCTTTTTTTTCTTTTGTTTTTTTGTTCACTTATTTTTCTCTCCCCTTTTTTTCCTCATTTTTTTTACGTTATAAGAATGTCAACCGTGTACGGTGTGTCGCCGACGCGATATTCATTTAGTAGCCTCCGTTCATTTTTGACAACGCCTTTAAGGACTTTTAAAATTTGTAGCTGCATAGGGGGAAGGAGTGGAAAGGGTGTGCAAAAGTGAACAGGTGTGTGCAGAAGTGAGGCGAAGCGCCTGACTCAGTTTCACGTTCTCTGTCGGTGCGCGACGAATGACGAGCCTGACAAATGCACACAACGGGATTAGCCCCCGTCAGATTATTTCACCTGAAATGTGCACGACGACTGGGGGTACTTGTCCAAGTTCATCGGTGACACGCTGGTTAAGTAATCCGCCCGTTTCAAATCGGTGAGGGATAACGAATTGAAAATCAAATTTGCTCCTCGCACAAAGTGAGACACATACAGGAGGGAAAATTGGAGCATGCCGAGGTAATTATTGTCTGCACGGTCAGGTAAATTTTTAAAAACAATTCTGAATGTGCATATCAATATGTCCACTATCGTGTCGTGGCATTCGACAAACACTTCCCCGTTTTGCAATTCAAAGTGGTACATAAATTTGATCAATTCTGTTAGGAGCTCGAAACTGGTGCTCGTCTTAACGTTTCTGTTTAAAATAAATTTTGAAATGCATGTGTGCAGGGTAGACAGATCGCCACTGCTTATTAAGGAGGCTACCACTTTGAATGTCTTGATCAAGTGTATAAGGTCGTGCACGCTCATCACGTTGCAGTATGCATTTGCATACTTGGTTACGTTTTTCAACATTTTTTTTTTTTCCATGTGGATTTTTGTCCACCTCGACTTCATCACCTCTCGCGTCAACGCAGGTGAAGTATTGGAAGCAACTGGCCCGGTTCCTTCGTTCTTCTCTTCTGAGGACCCCCGAGGGATGGCAAAATGGCCCCTTCTGACAAACCGCTCGTAGTCGGATAAAAACTCCGCTGTGAGGTACGCATTAAAAGGGGTGTAAAAGGCAAATGGAAATTCAACCCCTAGGGGAACCCTCTGAAGAAAGATACTCAAATCGATATAGTGACAAAGAAATAGTAGGCAGTAATTGTACTTAACATAATTGATGAAGTAATCATAATGGGTAGGAATGTGGTTTCCCTCTGTCTGCTGCCCCAACCCATTGTGCATGAACAGGCGATCGCTCAACTTGTTGAATAACTCTGGGAGGAGAAAATTTGAAAAGGGTGGGAAGCCACTTGTCCTCCTGTTATCCTTTAGAAACTTCGTAAGCGCATAAATACAGTTTAGCACAAAAAAGGTTTTGTACTTTTCGAAGTGTATATTTATTAGCTGATATAATTTATCCATTTTGTCCAGGTCGTTTGTGACTTGCTTCTTTTGGCCAAGTTGATCATCGCCCGTGCTTGTCGTCACTGCTGCTGCGGCGCTAACTGGTTGTGCCGCTGTAGCTGCTTCCCCCCCCCTGACCTCCAACGCGTGGTAGTTAAATTTGCTCATAAGGACGTAGGGCACAAATGCGACGGCGCTGCTGCTTGTTACGAGATCCATAACAAATTGATTCACAACCAGGTATGTGTTAGGGTTGAAGTTTAAGAAGGACATGTAGTAGAAGCACATGATGCATGCTTCTACCCTTTCCTTATTCCACCACTTGGGTGATTCGCTGAGGACACTTCTCAAGAGGACACTTTGCAGATGATCGAAAATGGAGCACTTCCTACTACCACAGAGGACGAGGAAGAAGTCCAATTTTTTTTTTTTTTCCAATATGTACTTTATAATTATTTGCAACTCATTTATTTTAATTCTCTTTTCATTAAATTTTAAAAAGTTTTGAAAAAGGGGCAGGATGTTTCGATCTAGGAAGGTGTTTTTGAACACTGTTGAGAATCCCTTGAGGAGGGTGCAGAAATCGAGGGTGTTCATTTTGACCTTTTTTTCGTAACTCGCTTGGGCGTAAAAGAGGAGACTTTCCTTCAGCAGGTGTACAGACGGCTCGTACAGCTTCCCCGTGTTGCCCCTCTTCCCCTGGGAGACCCCCACTAGGGCGTCATAAAATTGTAGCACCATGCCGATCTCTTGCAAGTTAAAATGGGTCCTGAAGCGGGGTACACCACTCGTAGCATCTGCAGCCTTTGCAGCACCCGTAGCATACGAAGCACCCCCCGTTGGAGCTTCTACTCCGTTGGGGACCAGCTGCATGTTCTTTCTCGCGTGCAACTTCGTCGCCGTGGTAGCCTCCCTGAAGGCCGCACCCAAGTTCATCACAGTGAAGGAAAAAAACGCTTGCGATATCTCCCCCAATTTAATCATCCTTTGTAAATTAAATAGGCACAGCGCAAGTACCTTCCCGTTGAACCTCTCCTCGAAATTTACTCGTCTTAAGAGAGCCTCATAAAGTTGTACCCTCTGGTCGTGTGTTAAATTCATGTGGTAAAAGAAGGCCGTTCTGTCCATGCTGCTCAACGTGTTAATAATGAGGATGAGTTCTTCATTTTTTACTTTTTCTGCCTTGAGGTAGAGATGGAGAAGTGTGTGCACGTTTTGTTCGTTCAGCTGGGTCACTCCATCTGGGGGGTACGCAACCTTGTGAGTAGCATCTTGTGTGTTGCCTTGCGTGGTCACGTCGCCTCCCCCCCCACGCAACAGACCCTCGCTCTGAATGGTAAGAAGAGAAATGACCAAATTGTAAACATCGAATGGACTAGATGTTGCATCCAATTTGCTGCGTACCAGAGATACCAGCAAGGAAAGGAGGTCTCCATTTTTAATCCTCTCCCTCAGGACAAACTTAGCGATTAAGCAAAGACCGTAGGGGTCTACAAATTCATCATTCTTAATTTTCTTTATAATAGAATTTGTGATAACGTAATTAAAACTTTTGTCTTCTCCTTTCACTTTCAAATTTATAAAATAATTTACGTACACACATAGTCGGATGAGGGAAAAGCTATCGACGTTATGCTTGACATGAGAACGTATCACCTGCACCACATGTTCGTTGTGACAATTGTGCACACTGTAGTGTTGAAGGAGTAGAGTTATGTTATTTGCTGTTAGTCGGTGTTGGCTGGGCATCCTGTTTTGTATATAATTTATTACCTCCCTTTCATGCTCCGCGAGGGAACCTTTTGTAATAGCTTTCCCCCCTTCCCAGGGTTTCCCTTTTTGTGGGTTTTCCCCACGTGGGCGGTGGGAAAGGCATGTTGAGAAGGTAGCAGCAGTGGGGGGGGGCAGCACACCCGGCGCTACTCTGCTGAGTATGGGTTTCATCAAAGGGCCTTGCGATCGGTTAGGTGGCGTTGCAATGTGTTCGGCGGCGTCGCGACAGGTTAGGCCGCCCCACGCGACGTTGCATGTGACACGTTGAAGGATGTTTCAAAACGCCCGTTTAGCTCAGCATCTCTGCATCTAACCATGTGGTCGTAGGAAAACCAAACAGCTGTGTGACGAATGCACACGCAGAACTAGCCAAGAGAGTGTAACCCTACTTGTGCCCGTGTCATCGGGCACGACACGTGAGAAGCGGACGGGGGGATAATCTGTGTCTGCCCAATTCCGCATCGCAACTGTGGCGCCTTGTTTTGACCAGCTCAGTTGCGCAATGGAACTTGGTGTATATTTTTTTTTTTTTTTTTTAGGGGTACCTCTCATACCCACCCTACGGAGGCGATATGCGTACCTTCTTCATGGGAGGGGGGGGGGGGGTATAATTAAAATAACTTTTCCTAATTGGTTTGGGTTTAAATGGGTTTAAATCGACTTGTGGGGCGAAAAGTTTCATTGACAAGGGATGATGGGGGAAAGTTCTGCCCAAATGGGACGTAGAGCGTGCACAGAGAAAGAGAGAGAAGAAAAAAAAAAAACCTTCACATATAAACTCGCAGTATATATGGAGGTGAAAAACGACACTAAGTGTAAAGCAGTTTATAGGGGACACGAAAAAAAAAAAAAAAAAAAAAAAAAAAAAAAAGGATGCCGATCTACCCGCCCCTCAATCCCGGACATTTTACCCGCTTGGTCAATCCTTTTTATTAAC